CTGGCAGGTGTCATCGAAGAAGAAGAAGAATTCAGTTCAATTCAGTTTTATGTGTAAAGCAGAACAGAAGTTATCTCAGGACACTTTTAAAACAGAGCAGGTCTAAACCGTACTCCTTATAAATATAAGATGAGTAAAGTGTGTTTTCACATTATTTAATTTGTGCATATTAAAGCAAGAATTCTATTAATTTTTCATCCACTTGTTCACAATATCTGCTCACCAACGGTCTGCAGTAAACAGTAAGTATGAGTCTGTGTATCTCTGTCCAAAATCAAGACTGTAGCGTCCACTGTGGTCACTTAGGGAGGAGAATCCAGCCTGATGCAAAATAATCAGTCAGTTTAATCTAAATGAGCTCTGTGGACGCTCCACCTCAATCCAAGGTTGTTCTGCCTTTCAGTAGATGTCGAATAAAATGTATTATAAAAGTACTTAATACAACAATAGACACAGAGTTGTCAAATCCTCCCCGACTCACTGACTTCATACAGCCAAAAAAGGCTTTAGCTCCTCTTGTGTATTGAGCACAGGACTGTGGATTGAGGGATTGCACTGATTACATAATCACACAATCATGAGTGCGCGCACACACACACACACACACACACACACAGGTCATGAAGGATGGGGTGGCTTTTAGCCAAAAGGAGATTTTGCAGCTTCTCTCCCTCTGTTACCATCAGCAGCTGCACACTGAAACAAACTGCCGCTGACACTAACACTATCGCCAAATACATTGATATTAAATGATTCTTCAAAACCTCAAATTATGTGAAATTATTTTTTATTTTTAGGTCCAACGTAGGCAAACATTTCTAGAACTCTCTCTTTGTACTGCACATAGCAAATGTGGTTAATAATAAGGGTTAGACAACTAAAACACGGTCAAGGTTTGGGGAAAAGACAGATCATTTAAATGTTAACTTCAGTACTGCAACGGGCCCCAAACTCCTGCACACAAGTCAGACCTGCTCCACCGTAACTGGGGATGTCTGAGATACTGGTTTGGTTTTTATCTATTTAATTAAAGCTAATGTTCATTCTCCTTTTAGCTCTAGTTTAGTGACAGCCAGCGTCAGCAGCAACCAAGCTCCTATAAACCCACTGCACACCACCTGCTCTGCACCAAACGACAGACAGACACAGTTAGAGACCAGCTGGGGAACAAAGTAGAACATCTAGAAGCTAAAGAGACAGATATTTTCCTCAGGAGTCGGTGGAGACTAAAGAGGAGCTAAATCAAGAGTGAATATTGGACATTGATCAGCTGGACACACGCACAAGTCCAATGGGATGATAATGTTGCTCTGTGTCTGCTGGATGTGAAAGGAGGTGACTGTTTGGTTTTAATATGTCAGATGTTGGGTTTAAAGGATGCCTCTCTGGCCCCAAATGACCAAATAAAACATAAAATGCAGCTTTAAATAACCAACAATGAAACTGCAGCTCTTTGTGGGACACACCGGGGAAACGCATCAGTAATCTTTGTTTGTCAAGAGTCAAAGATTAGGGAGTCAGAAACAGCCAGCGATCAAAGTAAAACATGAGTCATCTCTGTTTCTCACCGACCTGTCAGCAGGTTGTCGGTCGAGGCAGGTGGAAGACTGCAGATGGAGGACGAGCACAGAGAGGAGGAGGAGGATGCAGCAGTGTTTCCATGGTGAAGCCATCGCTGTGGTGACTAGAGCGTGATGCCAGCACACTCTCTTCCTCTCTGCCCCTCGTAATCTACTTTAATCAGCCCACCGCCTTTAAGCCCCCCTGACAGACTGAGGAACCGGCCTATCAGAGCAGAGCAGAGCCAGACGGGGTTGAGAGAGCCCTGCCCCTCTGCACAGACGTTTGCTTCTCACTTTCATTTCACCTCAGTCCTTAGAAAATGAATTACAGCAGGTGTACATATTATATATGAGATTCATATGTTTGTCAGGTAGGATTATGGTTGTTAAAAAGGATTTACAAAATAATTAAATAGATAATATATGCACAATTGTTGGTTCACTATTTGGGTTGATTGTACAGTTTACACTTAGTCACCTGATAGAAAGGTCACTATAAAGGGAACCACTGCTCTAGAGTACCTATAGCAGAGCACAGATAATAATAATAATAATAATAATAATAATAATAATAATAATAATAATAATAATAATAATGTTATCAATTTGTTTTGGTTGCACTTTATTTGGCTAGTCTGCAGATAGATAGTTTATAATGTATTTGTAGTATTTCAAAAGCTTATTATTTGAGATTCAACAGTTCAGCTGTTTCACTTGGTTAGTGAATGTTCATAAATTGTCACATATACTATAAATAAACTCAATTATACTCAACACACTATCTGTGTATCCAAATAAAGTTTTACCTTTTTCTTGTCTTTTTTTTCCTTTTTTTGTTGTTTTTATATTTTTACTTTATACAATTTAAGTAATGTATAATTGAACTAAAGCCAGCATTTAAGTTATTGTGTCTGTAAACCATAAACAGCTCATTCTAAAGTAACAAAAACACAATGCTTCTTCTATTCAGGTGATTACACACTAATAAAAACAAACCTATGAATATTATATTCTGCCAATAAATCCTCCTGAATGTTACACACTGGCCCTTTTATGAGGACATGTACTGTATATTAGTGTTCTCTGTTGAAAGGAGAGTAACCTTTTAAATACACTGAACCCTCCTTTATGTTTATGGGTTTGTGTTTTTCCCCACAGTCTTTATCGTGCATTAAAAAAAAACAACAACAACAACACATCAAGTTTCTCCTCCAGTTTAACAGCGTCCAGTCCCTAAGCCAGTCCATACCCTAAAGGGGTATTTGAGCAATGATTTATACTGCTCATAATCTCACAGATGTCCCCTAGAACTGTTAATAGACTTGCAGATATTAATTTAGTGTCAGCTATTAAAATATAACAAATAAAATGTACACAACAGCAGAGCAATAAAAACATAACCACGTAGGTAAGGGGGACAAATACCTGACCACTTATTGAGACGTGAGACTATTGTTTCTCTTTTAAACTACATGTTTTATCTTTATATGTGTAACAATACGATAAATAACCCAAACATTAAGAAAAATAAAAGAAATATCTTAAAAAAACTGCATGTAAGATTAATAAAGTCTCTAATCGTGTCACCACAAGTTTGGAATAACCTCTAATAACACATTATTTGCGCTACCCGGAAAAAAAAATAAAAAATAATTATGCATTAAAAATATATAAAAGAAATAGTTTTTACATGTTGTTGATATTTTCAGTCAGGCACTTTCCGTAGCCACGCCCGGTCGGGGGTCCTCCGGGTAGACATTGCCGCGGTGCATCCTGGTTCCTTCCTTTCCAGCCCAGGCTCGTTTCTGCAATCATGGGTACGAGTTCATCTTCAGCCTAAAAACCTCCTGAATCTCGCTCCCAACGCGGGTTTTTTACCTCGCTGTCGAACATGAACGTCTTATAAACCGTTCCCCGACCAGTTTGTGGCGGTAAAACGTCACAGTCGGTTAGATAATGAGCCTTTTGTTTTTAAACGGTTCCGTTCGCGTCCGCAACGTGGAGCGGCCATAACGTAAAGCGGCGTGTTAGCACGGTTAGCTCCCGAAGAGCGCGTTTAACTCTCAACACCTCTTAAAAACGGGTTTATGTTCTTATTCTAACGACACAGACGGTTCAATAAGGTCTTAATCTAACAGTACACACAGTTTAATACGTATATTTCTGTTGTAATAGTGTGTTTGTGAGCGTTTATCTTCGTTAACTCGGTGGTTTTTTTATTTTAATGGTTAAACGCGCAGGAAGAGTTTGTGTTGATGTTTAAGGTCAAATATGTTAAATATTAAGATATATTTAAGTAAATTACAGCTTATTAAACCACCACTGGTGCTGTGGATTAAATATACAGTGTTTAATGTGACAGTCAGACACTTTATCACCGCAGTTTGTGCCTCTATTGTTAATAATAATGTCTTAAATTAAACGTTATTGCTTTATATTTAGTAGTTTGTGTGTAATTGGGTTAATAAGATGTCAGTAGACACTGTGATGCTGCGTCTGTTGTCTTTGTCCCTGTTGGACTCACTGAAACAAACATCTTTTTTTTTTTTTTCTTTGAAGATAAATTCAGATTTTAAGAAGACGTGAAGCTGAAGTGTGTTTGTGTGTAAACGAGGTTGTTGTGTTCCTCTTGTCAGCTCAGAGAGTGAAAGGGACCCCGATTACAGAAGCATTTGTTTATTCTTTACCTTTGCTGTTTGTGTAATTATCAAAATGTCTGAATTTCTGCTGCAGAAAGTTTGAAGACATTTTAAAATGTTCAAGAAAGCCAAGAATACTCCCGTCAGTGGTTTTAATTCCTGCTGGTGTTTGTCTTCCAGGAAAGTGTCGTGGTCTGCGCACAGCCAGGAAGCTCCGTAACCATCGCCGTGAGCAGAAATGGCACGATAAACAGTACAAGAAGGCCCATCTGGGCACGGCCCTGAAGGCTAACCCCTTCGGAGGAGCCTCCCACGCCAAGGGCATCGTCCTTGAGAAAGTGTGAGTGAACAATGTCGATGAACAGAAAGTTAATTAGAGGACTTGATTCAAACCTTTTTTTACTTTACACTGGATGCCTCAAACTCCCAATTACTGAGACGTTCTCTGTCGGGATTCTCCTCAGTTCAACCTGTTGGGAAGTTGTTAGGTTGTTGAATTATCGTTTTTAAGTGTTTGATTGCAGTCTTTTAGTGTGAACACCTCGCACTGGCATTGTGATGTTTTCACCTCAGCAGTTATCAGGGCCAAACATTCGTCTCTTTGAATCTTATTGATTTTATTACTTGTTGATAAATGATTTACTGCTGGCATTAAACACTAATAATGATAACAAATAATAACAAAGCAGCAAATAAGAGGAAATATAATAATACAGCTTTCAGCGAAGGTATTTACGAGACTACACTAGATGTTCATATGCTCCTCAAATTGTTCCAGGTTTAGTTTTTTTTTAAAGTGTTGTGTTTCTCGTCTGCAGTGGCGTTGAGGCTAAGCAGCCCAACTCTGCCATCAGGAAGTGTGTGAGAGTTCAGCTCATCAAGAACGGCAAGAAGATCACCGCCTTCGTCCCCAACGACGGTTGCCTCAACTTCATCGAGGTAAACTCCCGTCCTGTATACACAATTACATGTTTATGTGCATTAGAGGTTCAGTTTGACCAGAGAAAATAAGTTATGCCTTCTTTCACACAATGTATTGATGCAGTTTTAGTGTTTGTAAAATGCCTCAAAGCTACAGCTAACTTAGTCTGGACTTGAGTTTTTCTGAAATCTATACAAATATTTTGACTGAAGCCATCCGTGTAGTTGTCCAAGATCAAATTATATTTTTATTTGGTCTTGTGTAATATGCAGTTTGCTTTATCTGCCAGCTACATTAGATTATAGTTAGTGCTTCCTTTTGTCTCCCTCTGACCTCTCTCTGTTTCCTCTCCTCCGTTTGGATCTGCAGGAAAACGACGAGGTTCTGGTGGCTGGATTTGGACGTAAAGGTCACGCTGTGGGTGATATTCCCGGAGTTCGTTTTAAGGTGGTCAAGGTGGCCAACGTGTCCCTGCTGGCCCTCTACAAAGGCAAGAAGGAGAGACCAAGGTCATAAACAGTTGAGGCAGAAAATAAAATAAACATGTTCAAATACAATTTCGGTTGTTTCGTGTTCTTATTCGTCACAATTGTTACTTTTAGTTGGACTTCAAGTTTCTATATGCTCTAAGTCAGCAAATTTCCACCATCATATCAGAGTTGTGGATTTATTCATGGTATATACGCTGCTGCCAGTGTTCAGCCCAATACTTAATGTAGTTATGTATGAAAGTTGGAACAATTATTGATCCTCTGAAGTCCTGAAAGATCTTTTTTAAAACTTAACTGGGCTTCATTAGTGTAGCACTTGATTATTTCTCTATAAAACTGTCAATACCAAGTGTACATAAAAATGAGACTCCAGGGGTTCTGTAGAAAGGAGACATGAAGCCTAAAAAGATTCTTTGTAGAGCACATGACTGCTGAAATTAGATGTGGCTCCAGTTTGCACTAGAAGTGTTTCACAAGTATCATCAAGAAACCTGAACCTGAGCAGCCTGATGCGGGTTTAACCTTGAACGTACTTCTTTGTGTTCCAGTTGAAAACTAGCTCAGTCCATACGGGGATAAATAAAGTAGTTCTTCAAAAGTAAAGTATTCAGGATTTAAACAGACTGAACCTTTCTTGAGGAAGAACAACCTAAACCAAATAATATGGAGGGCTGTTTTTTTCCTCTTCTGCCTCTATTTGTCTCAACAACAATGTGGGAAATTGTCTCCGGACCCCAAAAGTCTCAGGTTTACTGTTGGTCAGTTGGTTTTTGGTAAAATTCATTAATTGTAAATTCATTAGAGATTTTGAACCTCCTTGAAAATACAATTTTAACTTATGGTTGTTTTTTCTTTATCATGTAATTGTTCAACAGACGGCAGTTTTATAGTATTATTTTACCTTTAATGGACAAAGTGCTTTACAGTTTGTGAGGCAGATGTACAAAGTGCCGGCCGCCCATCACAAGCAATGTACTGTTCAGAGTCTTGCCAAAGGGCATGTGGACAGGAGGAACGAGGGATCGAACTGTGAACCACGTTATTACTGCCACAGCTGTTTTTTTTTGTAAATTAACTTTGTGTCAAAATCTAGTTTTAAGATCATTTGTTGTGCTTTATGTTGCACATTAAAGGTCCAGTGTGTAACATTGAGGAGGATCTATTAGCAGACATTGAATATAATATAAAG